TGCGTGAGGATTCTTTCTTTCTCTTTCTCTCTCCTTCCTTCCTCCCTTCCCTCCTTCCTTCCTCTTTCACTTTTTTCTTTCTTTTGTTCTCTCTCCTTCCCTCCCACACTTCCTCTCTCTCTCTTTAATAGTTTCCACTAACTCTGGCTAGGCATCACAGGACTGACATACTCCTACCTTTACCTTCCTTGTAGTTGGGACCCATAAGTGTGAGCTACCACACCTGGCCTTAAGTACTAGAATTCTGATTGATTTACACTTTTCACATCCTTGTCCAACAGCCTTCCCTTCCCTTCCCACTTTCCCTCCCTCGTTCCCTTCTTCCCTCCTTTATTTCCCTCCCTCCCTTCCTCCCCACTCCCGTTTTGGTACCAGTCCTGGGGCCTGGACTTAGGGCCTGGATATTGTCCCTTAGCTTTTTCACTTAAGGCTGGTGTTCCACCACTTGAGCCACAGCACCATGTCTGGCTTTTTGCTGGTTAATTGGAGATCAGAGTCTCATAGACTTTCCTGCTCAGGCTTGGCTTTGAACCACAATTCCTCAGATGCCTCTTAAGTGGCTAGAATTATAGGTATGAGTCACCGGTGCCTGGCTAGTCTTTTTGTTCTTTTTTATTTTTTGGTGCCAGTACTGAGGCTTGTGTTCTCCCTTGGTTATTTTCTTTCTTTTTCCTTTTTTGCTCAAGGCTGGAACTTTACTATTTGAACCATGACTCTAGTTAATCTTTCTGCAGGTTTATTGGAAATAAGAGTCTCTTGGATTTGTCTCTTCTTGTTGACTTCCCACCATGATCCTCAGATCTCAGTCCCCTGAGTAGCAAGGACTACATGTGTGAGCCACTGGCACCCAGCTCTACCTCTACCTTCTGAGTAGCTGGGATTACAGCTGGGAACTACCATGCTATATAGCTCTAATGTTCTATACTAAAAGTCCTGCCGGTGTGCCTAAATTGGGTAGATACCATCTTCCTGAATGGAAAGCAATAAACTTGACTCCATAAATGGCTGCACAGTCATTATGGAAGTGGATTCTTCCTTCCTTCCTTTCTTTTTTTTTTGTTGGTCATGGGGCTTGAACTCTGGACCTGAGCGCTGTCCCTCAGCTCTTCAGCTCAAGGCAAGCATTCTACCACTTGAGCCACAGCACCACTTCCAGTTTTCTGGTGATTTATTGGAGAAAAGAGTTTCATGGAGTTTCCTACCAGGGCTGCTTTGAACCAGGATCCTCAGATCTCAGCCTCCTGAGGTGTGAGCCTGGTACATGGCTGGAAGTGGATCCTTTCTAGGAAGCAAAATGTTAAAAAACAATTCTTTGAAATATTTTCTGAATGAAACAGGAATCTTATTCTTCAGAAAGGATCTGCACATGGCTGATATATTTAGTTAGATTTCAGAAGAACTGGGCTGGGAAGGTGGCTCAGTGGTAGAGTGCTTGCCTTGAATGCATGAGGCCCTGGGTTCGATTCCTTAGCACCACAAAAAAAAGAGTTCAGAAGAACTCCCTGTGTTTGATATCTGGACTAAATTCCCTCTTGGAGGTGTTCTGGATTAGAACACCTTCCAGCAGCAGCACCAGATTCCTTGTGTGTGCCAGAAGGATTGTCTTGTTCTGCTTCTCTGTTCATACACTGGGGACTTTTGGAAGCAGAGGTGTGAGTGCTATCCCTGAATTGCCTCCCTCATCTTCCACTTGCACCAGCATTTGGTAGCTAGTATGCTCAGGAAATGTTCTTTCCGGAAACAAGAGAGGGTGGAAGTAGAGGGCAGAGATCCAAGAAAGTGAGAAGGCTGTGATGTACTGGAGACAAAAAAGGGCAGTCCAGCTGGGCACCGGTGGCTCACGCCTGTAATCCTATCTACTCAGGAGGCTGAGATCTGAGGATTGAGGTTCGAAGCCATCATGGTCAGGAAAGTCCGTGAGACTCTTATCTCCAGTTAACCACCAGAAAACCAGAAGTGGTGCTGTGGACCAAGTGGTTGGGTGCTCACTTTGAGCTGAAGAGCTGAGGGAGAATACCCAGACCCACAGTTCAAGCCCCACAACTGACAAAAAACAAAACAAAACAAAACTGCAGTCTCCTGAGGAGTTGCATGGAGTTGCTGGGACTGAAGGGCCAAGGGTCCTGACCACCCTTACACCCAAGAGCTATATCACCAGTTACTATAGGAGCCAAGGATCCCAGCACCACAGGAGCTGGAACACTAGTAGGTACTGTCTACTGCTGCCACTCACTGCTGCTAGAAGTTGGGCTTAAGGAGTTACTAAGGGCTGGGGCTGCTAGTGGTTAAAGTTCAGACCAATCAACCTCTAGCCTGAGTGCCTACAGCCCTAAGTCTCTGGCTTATGGACAGCAGGCCACTCACTCTAGGCCATGGGGCTGTGAGCCTCTAGGCCTGTCAGTCCTGACCCTGGATCCAGGGGATTGCAGCCCTTGGAAGAACATTTCCTAACCTCAGAATTTCTATGAGGGAGAGCAGAGGGGCCCTGTTTGTTTATAATCACTCCTGGCAGATAATTGAATGTTCCTCAGGTTATCAGAAAGTACAATCAAGATCCAGGGCCAGTGGGTGCTGGTGGCTCATGCCTATAATCCTAGCTACTCAGGAGGCTGAGATTTGAGGATAATGGTTTAAAGCCAGCCCAGGCAGGAAAGTCCATGAGACTCTTATTTCCAATTAACCACCAGAAAACAGGAAGTGGCACTGTGGCTGAAATGTTAGAGCGCTCACTTTGAGCTAAAAAGCTGAGGGACAGCACCCAGGCCTAGAGTTCAAGCCCCACGACCGACAAAAAAAAAAGATCCAGAGCCAGTGAATTACAGGCAATCTGACTATATCAGAGGTGTTAATAAGTTTAATATATTCTATTGTTCTGAAAAAGTGAGTATTTTCTTTTCTTTCTTTTTTTTTTTTTTTGGTGTTGTCTATAGGGTTTGGACTCAAGTCCTGGGTGCTGTCCCTGAGCCTCTTTGTGCTCAAGGCTAACTCTACCACTTGAGCCATGACCATGACGCCACTTTTGGTTTTTGAGTTGTTCATTGGAGATAAGAGTCTCATGGGGACTTTTCCACCCAGGCTGGCTTCAAACCCTGATCCTCAACTCTCTGATCCTCAACTCTCAGCCTCCTGTGTAGCTAGGATTACAGGCATGAGCCTGTAAGAAAGCGCCTGGCTTTTCTTTTTTAATTAGATTTATTTTTAAAATTTTCCTTAAATAGTTGTACAAAACGTGTTCCAGTTCAACATGTCAGTTGGCCCATTTTATACTTTCATAATGCTTGGCAATTTTTAGACTTCAATGAACTGAAAAATTGAATAAGAAGCTTGTAATCTTTGGGTGGCAAAGATACATGCCACATAATACCAGGAAGTTAGCAATGTGTGTGTGGAGCCAGGGAAATGCTGAGTGTATCATTTGGCAGCAGCAACAGCTGAAAGGAAGCCTGGGATTGGGGGGGGGGTGGGGGAAAGGAAGTGGCCATCAGATGAGGCAGAAGGTTACAGGATGCTGTGGCCTCCACTGTGACTTGGGAAAGCCAAGTAGTCCATTTGTAGAACAGCATGTCCTAGACTAGTTTATGACATAATAGTACTGTTTTTTATGCTTGCTGGGGTGATGGGTGTCCTTTTGTGCTGGGACAATAAGGTGTCTCAAGTATGGAGAAAGAATGTTAAAGACTAAAACTCAAACTTTAGAAATACTTACATTGCAGAGAGTGTCTGGAGCCTGTAATCCTACAGTGGAGATATGAGGATTGAAATTGGAGGTCAGCCTGGAAAAAGAAAATGGTCTTGCTGGGCACCAGTGGCTCATGCCTGTAATCCTAGCTACTCAGGAGGCTGAGATCTGAAGATCACAGTTCAAAGCCATCCAGGGCAGGAAAGTCCATGAGACTCTTATCTCCAATTAACCACCAGAAAACCAGAGCTCAAGTGGTAGAGTGCTCCCTTTGAGCTGAAGAGCTGAGGGTCAGCCCCAGGACCAAAAACAAACAAAAAACAAAACCCCTCCAACTAGTGGCTGGGTGTGGTAGTGTATGCCTGTCATTCCCAGCTGCTGGAGGAAGCACAGGTAGGTGCATTGTCCAGACCCATTTGGACATAAAGCTAGACACTACCTTGGAAATGTGGCTCAAGTGGTAGAGTGCCTACTAGAACTCAGCCAGGTATGTCGTAAGCACCTGGCTCTGAGTTCAGTCTTTGTTATGGCCAGTATGAACCATTACCAAACTAGAATGTGATCCCATCTTCTCTTAATTCTACTGAGATGATTAGGAACCTCTTCAACATAGTAGTTTGCAGTTGTTTGACGATTTCTGCCGTCCTGTTCAAGTCCTCCATGCGTCAGTCCTCAGACACTGCCTCTAAGTGATCCTCCCACAGCCTCGCACCTCTTTGAGAATAACGGAGACCCCGCTGTCTGGCCAGGAACTGGCGTGCCTTTTCCTGTATCACACCTTGCCCAGGGCCTGCCTGGCCTTTGGGTAATGGCAAGCGGAGCTGGGGCACATCAGTGAGTGGATGCAGGATGCGGTGTGTGGCTGAGCTGGGTGGGTGAGTGAGCTAATGTCTGGATGCGTCAGAGTGGGAGGTGGTGGGTGCATGGGGAAGAAAGTGAGTAAAGTGGCTCCGACCCAGGGGGTGACCGAGCCATCCAGGAGTGGGCTGAGAAGCGCGCCTCAACGCGGCGCTGGCCCCAACCAGGACAATTTCTCAGGAGTCCCGCTGGCACAGATGCAGGAGGGGAAGCCCTGGCCTGACCAGAGCCACGTGGCCGGGGCGGGGCAGGGCGGGGCCAGGGCGAACGGAGAGGGAGGGGTCTGGGAGGATGTGGGCGTGCCCGAACTGCGCCTGGGCGTCGCAGGGCATGACGAAGACCAGTGTGGGCGTGGCTAGCCGGACTCCGGGCTGGAGTGGGCGGGGCTATGCCGGACCCGGGCTGGCGTGGGTGGGGCTGGCCGGCGGGAGCGGGAGGAAGTCACGTGAGCGCGCGGGCTCACATGACTGGCCGTGCGATGGACCCGCTGCCCGCCGCGGCAGTCCCGGCGGCGGCTGAGGTGGAGGCTGACGAGGAGGCGGATCCCCCAGCGACAGGTACGGCGGGTGGAGGCCGGGACGGTCCTAGGCTTGTGTCCTGGTAGGCCCTGGCCTGGCGGAGCCGAAGGCGACACTCAGGGCCCTTCCTGCCCTGCGTCTTGCGCCCCCAACCCCTTCCCGCCCTGGGGAGCCGGGCGCGGCCGTAGCGGGGACCACCTGTCCGGGCCACACCTGGCCTGCTCAAAGGACTTCGTGAAGAGGGACTGCCCCCTTCCCCGTGCCTGAGAGGTGCTGCGTCCGGGGACTTCAGCGCTTGGGTTGGTGCGTGGCCTTGGGGACCTGCGACCTGGGACCCGGGATTTCTTCAGGGAGCTTGCGGACGAGCAGCTGGCGTTTCTTCAGAAGCTTGTGTTAATGTGTGAGCGTGCCCCAAGCCAGGATGCCGCTTGCCCGGAGGTTTAAACGTTCCTTTCCGTGGGCGCACGTGCTAGTGGCTGCTGGTGACTGGGATGGTCTAGCCGATTCTGGCCAGGTGTCACCGAGGAGGTGATGGTCCAGGTGACTTCTGGAGGGATGGGAGAGAGACCGGTTCCTCCCTGAAAGGCAGGGCCAGTGGCCGTTACCTGCCAGGGCAGGGAGGACATGGTTACAGTTGGGTGGCATAGGCAGAACGTTTCTCCATGATTGAGCTTTAGTTCTATTTTTTCCCTCCCTCTCTCTTCCTTGTGACTTTGTAAGGGGAGCCTGTGACAGTACCTGTTAGGTAGAACATTGGGTTGGAGCTGGGTAGGGGCCCACTCCTGTCTGACTGGACTCTTTGGGGCCACTTGCAAATGGGAGAGGCTGTGACTGTACCTGGGGCTGCTACTTCTCAGCTTGTAAGAGTGGCCCAAGCAGGTGGTGGCCTAGGAATTTCTTGGTAAATACAAAGACTACTCTAAATACTGTAGACTTTCATATAGGACTCACCCATGGCTGCCATGAGTCCTGGTTGGTGTTTTAAGCCTGTAAATCCTAGCTACTCTGGAGGTTGAAAGCTGAGAATCGCCAGCCCAGCAGAGGTAAGAGTCTCATGGACTTTCCTGCCCGCCAGATTTCAAGCAGTGATCGTCAATCTCTTGTGTAGGTAGGATTACATTCGAAGAGATTCTTATCTCCAGTTAACCAGCAAAAAACTAGAAGTGGAGCTATGGTTCAAATAGTAGAGAACTATCCTTTAAAGAAACAGTTAAGGGGGGCTGGGAAGGTGGATCAGTGGTAGAGCACTTGCCTTGCATGCATGAGGCCCTGGGTTTGATTCCTCAATACCACATCAGCAAAAAGAAAAAAAGCTGGAAGTGGCGCTGTGGCTCAAGTGGTAGAGTGCTAGCCTTGAGCTGAAGAGTTGAGGGACAGCGCCCAGGCCCAGAGTTCAGGCCCCACGACTGGACCCCCCCCCAACAAAAAGAAAAGAAAAGAAAAAGAAACAGCTAAGGGACAGTGCCCAGGTCCTGAGTTCAAGTCTCAGTCCTACTATACATAAATAAGATGTGGCTGCCACATAAGGCTGTGATTTATGGAGACTAGCTCTGGGCTGTTGGGGACCTGCCCTTTCTTTGACTTTGCCAGGAATTCCCATAGGTAGCTGGTCTTCCTTGGGGGCAGTGGTGATTTTTACCAGGAGGGCTAATTTTCCCCCAGCCATGTGGCCTTGGACAATTTACACAGCATTCTTATAAATGCATGAGTCTAAAATGTTGGGTTTATCAGAGGTGAGCAATTCAATCAGTGGGTACTAGGGGTGTGTGTGTGTGTTGGTGGGAACCTTGGTTGCGTGGGCTAGGGTCAGAAAATGAATTACATCAAGAGATAAGAAATGTCTGTGTCATATCTTTTTGACTTCTTGAAGGAACAATGTGGGTCATGGATATATGACTACTTTGTCTTCTTGTCTACACAGCCTAAGCTGCCTGTAGTACTCTGTATAGGCACTGTGAGGTCTGTCTTCTAAGTTCCTTTGGGATTGCTATAAAAAGTTGTGCTCATTGTTAAATGGAGTTTGTATTATGTTTGGATTAGTTGACATTTAGGCTGTGACTGTGATGGTAACTCCATAAAACTTAACTTTCAGTTACAGGACACTTGGACAAACCCCGTGTTTGAAGAAATCTGGAATGTTAAAGATCAAGTAAAAGTCCCAGCATGTTGAGTATCAGTTTGCATATTTGCATATTAATACTCAGAAATATGTGTTTCTGGATTATCTTGGTGGAACACATCTGTAATTCCAGCACATTTTTGTATGTGCAGTACTGGGGCTTTAACTCAGGGACAAGGTGTGGTCTCTTAGCTTTTTTTTTTTTTCCTTAAGACTAGTTCTTTACCACTTGAACCACAGCTCCACTTCTAGTTTTGGCTTAATCCCAGCACTTGGGAGGTTAAGGTAGAAGGATCGGGATTTCTAGACTAGTCTGGGCTACATAGTGAGACAGTATCTTAAACTTCCACAAAAAAAATAAAAAAGGGCTGAATGTATGGCTCAAGTGGAAGAATGTCTGCCTAGAAAGTAGGAGACTGAGTTTGAACTACAATACCACTAACAAAAGAAAAGGAACAAAAAAAAAAGAGAAAGGAGAAAATACCCTGTGTGCATGTGCTCTGCTTCTCCTTAGCATACTGAATCGTCCTCCGTTGCTGCAGCAGAAAATTACATTTAGTGGCTTAAACAATACAAAATTATCAGCTTATGGGGCTGGAGGTCAGTCCAAGTTTCCTCAAGCTAAAGTGGGGGTGTCAGCAGTCTTGGGAGGCTCTGGCAACGATTGTCTTCTGGCCTTCCAGCTTTTAGAGGCTTCCATTCCTGGCTCCTGCTGTATTGGCCTAGGCTCGTTGGCCCTGCCTCTGCTTCTCTTCCTGTCTCCTCTTCCACTTTCCTTTTTTTTTCAGCTCAGTCTTGTACAAGTGTTCTGCTACTTAGGCCATGCCCCCAGTCCTTTGGCTTTGGTTTGTTTTTCAGATATGGTTTTGTTTTTTGCTCAGGCCAGCCTTGGACCTTAATCCTCCTGTTTCTACTTCCTGAGTAGCTGGGGCCACTGGTATGTGCTATCAAATACACCTGGTTTGTTTTTTGAGAACAGGTTTCAATAATTTTATTAATACCAAGTGCCAGTGGTTCATACCTGTAATTGTAGCTACTCAGGAGGCTGAGATATGAGGTTCAAGATTTGAGATGAGTGGGCTGGGAAGGTGGCTCAGTGGTAGAGTGCTTGCCTTGCATGCCTGAGGCCCTGGGTTCGATTCCTCAGCACCACATAAGCAAAAAGAAAAAAAGCCGGAAGTGGCACTGTGGCTCAAGTGGTAGAG